CTGAAATATGGCAAAGATGGTGAACTAGGTATTGATAGCAGAGGGAAATTTTGCCAGACCTTTGTATACTTATGCTTAATGCTGCAGTGTGCAGTGAAAGGTAACAAAAGATATCTGGCCATTAGCAGTATTGAAATCTCTTCACACTGAGATCTTAGTCAAAGCTGGGTCACATTACATTTCTCTTACTGCTCAACTAAAATTAGGATTTCCTCTCATCTCAAATCCTGTCGTTGCTCCTGTGGGACTGTTCAGGCTTTGACCTGAGTAACCATGACAGAGATCACTTACACATGCAAAACATTTACACAAGAAGTGATACATTTCAGCATTCTAATCAAGTACTATGCTTTCTTTTGCTCCTCTTTTCAGAATGAAATAATCTGTGGCTCTACCTACGTTCAAAAAATACTTTGTTACAGGTGCTGCCAAGCAATTTGAAAGTCATTCTGGTAGGAGATTTATCACTAGCTACAGGAAATCTGCCATATGAATTTAAGATTACATTTAGAAACTTTGGGCAAATATATCCAATAAAACTTGGCTGTACTACAAACTAAGTAATTTTGGGGTGTTTTTTTTTAGTAAATTAAACACAGTTAAATATTTTGGAATGGTGGCAAGAAAAGTTGTCATTCATTTCTTCCTGTGCACTATGTATTCCTGAGTATTAATAATAATTCAGGTTTTGGATGTATTCAATCCAAAGAATTAATCAGGAGCAAAACCAATTTAAGTACATTGCAACATAATTCCATGACCTCCTTGGAGGAAACACTGAAGTTGAAGTCTGTGCAGGTTTGATGATTGTTTTGTAAGAAATACATAATTCAAGAAAAGTTACTAATCGTTCAGTTTTCAGATTATATGCCTGAATTTTTTTCCTGATATAATGAGTGTATTTTAAAACTTTCATTTCATTATAATTATGTTTTCATTGAGAAAATGCAATAAATATCCTTTCTCATCCTTTGCTTGTGGCATACTAGATAATAGTAATTCATCAACAAAATCCTCTTCTTGTCTGTGTTTACAGAGTGTCAAGTCAGCTTAGAGTTTTTCTCAGGTGAGTACAGTGGGTTTTGTCTTCAGTTGTGTAGCACAGATTTCCTATCAGTCTTGTAACCCATTTCTGAACAGTTTCCAACCTGACAGTATCTCATTTCAAATCTGAATATAGAACAAGGTATAAAAGTGTTGTAGAAATGTAGAAATGACCTCAGATGCTATGAGGGACATAATGCCTTTCCTGTCTATATATCCAGGGATCTCATCTGCTCTCTTAAGCACCATACTGTTCTATATATAAAACATTTGCTTTCCATCCCAAAATTATTCTCAGGGACACTATTGCTCATACAAATTTTATGCTTTAGAGTTTTTTAAAATTCATATTCCTCCAAAATTCAAAATAAATATAATCTCTAAAGCATGAACCAATTATTTCATCATCAGGATGACCACACTTTGTCATTATTTGTCACATTAAGCATTGTTTGCAAACCCCATCCGCAATGACTGCATATTTTCTTCTAGATTACTTGATATAAAGCTTTCATACAAGTGTAGAGAAACTATAGCTGGTGTGCACCAACCTATGTCTTGCACCACTGTAAAAACAGCATTCCCATCCCTTCACATTCTGTATGAAGGCTTTGCTACCACCAGGTCACCCTGGGCTTGACAGGAAGTTTTATGCCAGTCCTTTTGTGGTTTGTTTTTGGGTTTTTTTGCTACAGACCTCAAAGTAAGACTGGTTTTGCTTTCAAAGCACTTGTTAGGCAGAACACCTTATTCTTCTGCCAATGATTTCTTGACAAAGATGCTGGAACTCTGCCAGCTGTGCTGTGGATTGTCTGCTGGTAGGCTGACACTCCTGTGTGCCTTTGAACCTCCGGCCTCAGGATATGCAGGTCTTACTTTAAAAGAATGTAGTCCCTTCCTAAAGCCTTAGATCTGGTTACATCTCCATGAGTTGCTTTTTTAATACACTTTTTTCAGGAATGATTGCTTCCACAGCTCTGCACTAGTTTGCTTTCCACCAGTTGTCATATAGCATGAGGAGAGACAAAATTGCCTGACAAGTTCTCCCATGAAAAGTGTATTATCCTTGTGATCAGCTCAGCCATTTCTGATCATTTTCAATATTCCTATGAAGCTGATAGCTGGGTTATGAAAACAGAGTTGAAGGTCTGCCTTTTTCTGAATGCAAGACTACTAAAAAGCAGGTAACATTTTTAAGGCTTTGTTGTTAGGACAGCTATAAGGATTAGAACTTTCCTAGTTTGCCAGCTGAATGCTACTAAACATGCCTGATCTCTTTTAGCTGCTTGGGAAGACTTTTCTCTGGTATTGACACCTGGAGAAATCTCAGGAAAGGTTATCCTGTCCAGCTATTATGGCATTATTTTTGTAAAGGCTAGAAATACTTTTCCAGGACCTTCTAAAGGCAGGTGGTTTGGGGGTGATGGAAAGGAAGGTGGTGCCGTTCACCTTTGTGTTTGTCCCCAGAGT